CTCCTCTATCACCTCTGGTTTCTATTCCGATACAAAAATGAAGATAAAATTGACCGAGTGAAACGTACACAGGCAAGCGCGATTTCCACGCCACGTCGACATCATCATGCTCAAGGTGCACCGCAAAGCAGGGGAGCTCCTCTTGGAGGACTGCCGCAAGGGAGATTCGAGCTGGCTGCGTGTGAGCCTCCCGTCGTCCAAAGTGGAGAAGACGCCAAGCGGAGACGCGTCGGCTGTGTCCAAGCCGTTGGTAGACCTCGAGGAAGTCGCCCGGGTCAAGGACGCAACTGACGAACCGCCCCTCGAAGTGAAGGCGCTGTACGGTGTATACTCGCTCCTGTCGGGACCGTACCTGGCATTCATCAAAGACAACGCGTGCGTCATCGGCAAAGGCCCGAACGACGAAAGCATCTACCAGGTGCTCGAACTTGAGTTCGTTCCCGTATCCGAGCACGCCGAGCGCCACTTTCAATCGACCGCAAGCAAGCAGGAGAAGCGAGACCAGGCGATCTACTTGAACATGCTCAAGACGATCGGGAAGAGCAAGATGTTCTACTTTTCCTTTGACTACCCTCTGACGTTGTCGGCGCAGCGATACGCCCTCGCAACGGCGTCGGCGGCCAAGCTGCCGGCCCACGCGAGGGCGGACGAGTCGTTCTTTTGGAACAAGCCCGTGCTGGGTCCGTTCTTTCACTCGAAGGTCAAGTTGGATCGGTGGATCGTGCCAGTGATCAACGGCTTTGTCAAGGTCGTGAAGGGAGTCATGATGACGTCGAACACTGCGCCGGTAGACTTTTTCTTCTTCACCCGGCGCAGTTGGCACCGCGTGGGCACGCGATTCAACGTCCGTGGCGTCGACAAGGACGGCCATTGCGCCAACTTTGCCGAAACCGAGATGATGGTGCGCAAGGGCGACGGGGGTCTGTGCTCGTATGTGCAAATCCGAGGGTCCATCCCGCTCTACTGGGACCAAATGGTCACACTCAAGTACATGCCGCGTACGCGCTATGCGTACAGCCAGTCGGACTTGATCGATTGGAACGAGCTCGCGTTCCGTGCGCATTTTGACAACGTGATTGCCAAGTACGGCCACGTCACTGTGCTCAACTTGATCGACAAGAACGGCAAGTCGTCCACAGTGCGGGACCAGAACCAACTCGGGTCTGCGTTTCAGAAATACACGAAAAAGTACAACCAAAACCAGGGCAGTGGCGCCGGCGATGACGACGACTCGTCAGCTGTGACGTCTCCGTCGTCGCTGCGGTCACGCAAAGCTGCCGCACCCAAGGAAGCGTCGCCCGCTGTGCCGACGGCAACGTTGTCGTCGCTGTTTGCGCAGCCGATTGCATACATTTGGTTTGACTTCCACGACGAGTGCCGCAAGATGCAGTGGGGGAACCTCGCCAAGCTCATGGAGTCGGCGGCCGAGTGCTTTGCCAAGTATGACTGGTTCGAAGTCGACGCGGACGGTCGCGTCATAAAGAAGCAAAAAGGCGTGTTCCGCGTCAACTGTATGGACAATTTGGACCGGACGAATGTCGTGATGAGCCTCGTGGCGCGCCGCACGATGCTGCTCTGCCTCCGCCTCGACTCGAAGGACATGTCGTGGCTGGACTCGCCGTTTGAAGCGTTCGAGTCGTTCTTCAAGAACGCGTGGGCCGACAACGCGGACGCAGTCTCGCTCATGTACGCGGGGACGGGGGCGCTCAAGACCGACTTTACGCGCACGGGCAAGCGCACGCTTGCTGGTGCGATTCAGGACGGAATCAACTCGGTCACTCGGTACTATCTCAACAACTTTACCGACGGTATCCGTCAAGACTCGCTCGACTTGTTCGTTGGCAACTTTACGGCCGATCGCCGCACGGACAGTCCGTTCACAGTCCAGCAGCAAAACAGTTTGGCGTTCATGCTGGCCGAGGTCGTCGTGCTCGGCGTGTTCCTCACAGGGGTGTCGCTGTCATTGCATTGGAACGAAGATGTCCACATCCGTCTTCGAGACGGAATCGCGGCCGCCGTGTCCGGGCTGGTCGTCCTCGCCTACCTTTTGCTCAAGAAGGGTTCGTTCCGGTCCGTGGGACGGCACTGCGTGTGTAAGCCAGCCTTTTGCTCGACGGGGTACATCCGAAGACCGGAAGCCGCCAAGTAGACCACCGCTGGACGGCAGCCCAATCCTTGAATCCATATCTCCTTGGTGTTCGATCCCGTGAAATGGAGGAGGCGTGGGTTGGTCGAGATGGTCAGGCGGCTGTCTTCCAGCACACCCACGCGCATTAGGCTTGGTCGTCCAAGCTTGATGGTCATTGAACGCTTGGTGGGATCGATCTCACTGAATGCAATGAAGCGGTAGGTGGATATACCTCGCGGTGGCATGGCGTCAAGGTGTTTGCACCAAATGGATTCGTATCTCACTCCAGGTCTGCATTATATCTACTTCATTTTATACGTGACTGCCGGTCCTGTGGCGCTCCATCGTTGCCTCGGTGCTGTCGTCATGCGGCGTTGGCTTGAACGTTCCACTTGAGCCGTTGTGGAAAACACCGACAGGTCCGAGCGAAAGTGGACGCACTGGCGAAGGGGCGTCGCTAGGCTGTGGCGAACAGCACAACCGCCATCTGGCCAATATAAAAGTACAGGAACTTGGACTGTTCGTGTGTGACGTAGCACGCCACGTTTCGCCCGACGCAGCAGTGCCACAACATGCCGTGGTACTTGAGCTCAAAGTGGCGCTTGATCTTGGCCGCGATGAACTGCTCGTTGATTTCCGATTCGATCGCGGCCTGGGCGACCCAAATCACTTCGTCCTGCAGGTCTTGGTCCATCGTCGAGTTCTTGATCACGGGCTTGACTGCGGACGACGCGAGTACCGCCGACATCGTGGCTGCTTCGATCCGCTGATATTTATCCGCGACTGTTGGCTGCGATCTTTGCCCGACTTTGATTGGTCAAAAAGAAACTCAAACCTGTGTGATGGCCTGCTCCAAGGGCAAGCTGCGTCCTTCACCGGCAAGCGTGGCACGTGCACAAACTCCGCGCCATCGCGACCGTAGCATAGCTTGAGTGTGGAGTGCAGTGACTGGATCCATGTGCTCATGGTGCGGTGAGCTGAAGAGGCTTGCACCAACGGTGTTGTTGCTTGGACATCTGTTGCCCACTTAATCCAAGATGTGGGCAAGCTGGGTCACTTCATGTGATCTTTTCCTCGCCCAGCCAAGTCCGAATCTACTGCCCCCAAATCTCGTTGCTCTTGTAAACGACGGCCTTCCATGTAGCTGCCGTCGTTACATCGCATCTCGCGCCGGCTCCCTGGCGTGATGTTACAATCATGCAGGCTGCTGCTGCTGCTGCCGTGGCCACTTCTGCTGCATGTCGCAATGCAGTATCGAGACAAATGAAGTCGACGTAAATTGTCGTTCATTCAAAATCGACTCGCCCAAAACCCGATTACGAATCTACTCAAGTACACATGTCGAGCCCCACTTCGCCCCACTCGACGATGCTACACTGAAAGTCGATTTCGCACCATGGAGAACGTGGGAGTAAAAACCACCACCTTGGCGGGGGGAAGGCGTTCGGCGCTTTCAAATGTTGTGGACTGACAATAACACGCTAGCTTGTCCAAGTTGCCGTCCAGGTCCAGTCGCCTCGTGTGGCGCTTGTCGTTTTCCTTGTGTGCCAACTCTAGCGAGCCATCCCCGCCGTCGATGGACACCAATCCGTGGTGATGCTCAACCTGCACCAGAATGCAGTGATCGGTTATCCCGAAACAATGTCCAGCGAATCTCGAAGCGAGACCGCAAAATTGCCACATTGCTGTCGTCGACGTCTTGCCTCGTCAAGAGAGCAAGGACATTGCGTCTTGCAGGCGTATAAGACGCCTGCCGTCTCAGTGGATAACCATCTCAAAGTCACAGGTCCAATTGAATGAAAACGGGCGGTCACTACATTGTTAACACCCAAACGTGAACTGGCAGACATATAAGTCGTCATGGACACTGACAAATGCGAGGAAGGAGCAATTTGTAAGTCAAAATTAGCCCTGGTCGTCCTGGGAACAGTACGGACGCTGCAACAGCGTCATGCTCATTTGACCTTGGGAGCTCGGGGCTCGAGGTCACCGCCGTTGGCTCCAAACGCGTTCAGCACACCCGATGTTGATTTGTGCACGTCAATGAGCAAAAAAGCAGCTCCATGTCTGTCTGGGTTGCGCATGTTCAAGTTGAACGCGTCAGAGAGGAGACTGTGCCAAAGGCACGACACGCTCGTCCATGGGTTGGGACAACGACTAATTGTCTGAAAGCCGAGCCGAATATGGATTTATCTGGATGACAGGGTCGGAGGGGGAGGCTGGATGTTTCGAACTCGTTCCAAAAGCAGCAAGCCCTCCACATTCGACGAGGCACGACGCATGGCGGGGAGCTAACCGTCCTTAACAAATCTGTGGACCTACTGGCTGGGATGGCACCCCAGCCACCAACTTGCGGCATGTCTAGACTCCACCCCAAGAATCGGACGATTCAGGAAGTTTCGTTTCGCACGCCATGCAGCCGTTTCAAGGCACACCGTTTCGTATGTAACCGAACAGGTCGTCGGCTTTTGGTATCTGGGTCGCGTGCAGTGGATGCATTTTCGCACGAATGTCGACCGCCGCTGCCACAACGCCTACGCTCAAGCACAAAACGCGCAAGCTCAAAAGCATGCTCTTGATGAGCCACCTGACGCCGCTCCCCATCTACGACGTTGGGCATGACGTCGACACAAACGAGCACGCGACGGGCGAGTTCGGGTGTGTGTTTCCTCACGTCGACCATCGAGTGCTGGACGAGCCAGAGACCGCGGGGGGGTGTCCCGTCGGGAGCGCGGAGGTGTCTCGTCGACTTGCGAATGCCTTCACCGAGCTCGAAGCGAGATTCTGGAAGCGCGTGAATGCAGGGACCGACCGCGTGCTCGTGTACCAGCGCCCCAACTCAACGAGTGTGTCGAAGGAGTACATTTCGACGCACAACGACCCGTCCAACCTGTCGTTCAACTCGTGGTTTGAAAGCGGCAACCTCGAGTGCGCCTACCGAGTCCACCATCGAAACTACGCCACGTACTTGCCACAATGCACCAAACACTTGAACCAAACCAAACTCGCTACGCCAAAATCGAGTGCCCACCACCCCCATGGCCCGCCGCCACCCACCGACGTCTTGATGCCCGTCGCGGTTGACCAAGAATACGATCTCTACTGCGATTGCGACACGTACACATTTGGTACCTTTTATCGATGGAACGACTCGCCCCTTCAAATCACACTTGCCGTAGGGCATATTCAATGGTACTACTTCCAAGTGAAGGTGGCCGATCAAGTTCCCCCCGGCCAAGACGCCCTCGTCGTTCGCTTCAACATCCGCAACATGATGAAGCGCGACAGTCTGTACAACTTTGGCATGCTGCCGACCGTGTATTCGGAAGTAAGCGACCCCCCCACGCCCCTCTGGATAACTACACGAACTATGGTAGGTCAGGGCGGCCCAAGGCGTGGCGGGGTGGACCCACGCAGGCGTCGAAGCGTTCTACTACCAGAACGCAGACGAGTTTGAGCACCCCCGGCGTCGATGGCGAACCAAGCGATATCACTACACGCTCTCGTTTGTATATCGTTTCGACACGGCCATGGACACGGTGTACTTTGCCCATTGCTACCCGTACACGTACACAAACTTGCAGAGGTACTTGACAACGCTCCTCGCATGCCCCCTTCGCAGCCCCAACGTTCGGCGGCGCACGCTGTGCCCGACCGTGTGCGGCAACGCGTGCGACGTGCTCACAATCACAGAATACACGGCAGAGCCCCGAGGTTGGATCTCGCGCTCGAATTGCTCTTGTCCAAGGCGTTGTGAACGCGCGCGTTGTAGTCCTCATGCTTCGAACGGGCGTTGTCTTGACGGCGAGGGTCCATCCCGGAGAAACCAACGGGAGTTTTGTCATGCAAGGGATCATCGACTACTTGACAGGTACGCACGATACGATGGCATGACGTCATTCTTGGGGGTGTAGGCCCGTCGAAAGAAGCGCAGAGGCTGCGGCAATGTTTTGTGTTCAAGATCGTCCCCATGCTCAACCCCGATGGCGTCATCCACGGCAACTACCGCTGCTCCGTCGTCGGGGTCGACCTCAACCGCCGATGGTCGAAACCTTGCCAGAACACCCACCCGACGATCTACGCCGCCAAGCAAATGATCATGTCCATGCGGAATGCGCGCCGCGTCGTCCTGTTCTGTGACATTCATGGCCACAGTCGCAAGAAGAACATGTTTGTGTACGTTGGTTCGCTTGCGTTGCTTTACGTCATGACGGGGCAGGTATGGATGCAAGCCATATTTCGCTTGGTCGCCATTTGAAGCGGCCAAGATGCGACTGTTTCCGTACCTGCTCTCGAAAGTATCGTCCGCCGAAGACGGTACGACGCTGCCTACCCTCACTTCGCTCACATGGCTTGGAAGGCGGCTTCTTTAGCTTTCCCGACTGCACGTTTAACGTGCCGCGGTCCAAGCTATCGACTGGGCGGGTCTCTGTTTGGAATGACATTCGCATCTTGAACAGCTTTACACTCGAAACATCGTTTTGCGGGTACGTCGGGTTGGCACAGCTCGTGGAACTCGTCGTGCGTTGCCGCTAGGACGGGCGAAAACCAAACAAGACAGTACCATCGTCCTCCGCCCTCGACAACGCTTCCCACATTGCGCGCCAAACCGACCACCCATTACCGAGTTTGTGATTTGATTCAGTCGGGCGAAAAGTTTTGCTGTGCCCTCGGCAATTACGGCCGCCTGTTGGGAATTGAGCCCGTGGACGAAGCATCGCTTCCCCCCGACGCAGCCCCGGCCGCCGCTGGCCATGGGGAATCCGCCATGACCCTGGCAGTCGACGAAGACGTCATGACCACAGGACCGTTCCCTTCAGTCATCCGCAATCGACATCGCCACGATACGAACAACGACGACAACAACTTTGTCTTGTCCGCGGATGCGATCCAATTGCTCGATGAGATCTCGACGAACGTTCCCCTCAGCGCCGACGTCGACTGCAATTCGTCGGAAGGGTCTGCTGGCTCTGACTCAAACCCATCCGAAGACAACAAAGACACCGACGAAATCGAGGCCGATACGCGGTGGCAGGCCTTTGTTCGGCACCGCGCCGCCGCACGGCCCCGCATCGCGCGTCGCAGTCTACCGTGCCCCATCGTCAAGGACGACGCATCCATTAGTCCTCCAACAAACTCTCTCGTTCACCGCCCGTACGCCGACTTTGCTGTCACGTCCGGAAAGTCAAATTGGTCGTAGGTCGGCAAAGAACGTCCTCAAGGCGCTGCCCCGCACGCCGCCACGACCTACCACGGTCTCACTCGCCCCCGAACCCACTCGACGTGGCGCGACACCACCCGTTCGAGTCAAGCCTGCACCGAATGCGCAACCCACGGTCGTGCCTCTGTCGTCTTCGCTGCCGCAATCTCGTCGAATGAGTGTGTGGGCAGCCGGCCAAGGCGTACGTCTGTCATGTTCACCACCTGAAAGGATCTAACCTCTGGCTCAGCGCAAAGACGTCAATGCCGCGATCGCAGGGCTCCATCGAGAGCTCATCAAGCGGCGCATCAGTTTGACATCACCGCCAAAGCACCCGTCATGACGCGACCACATCCCGCTGGCGCCATCGACATCCACGGCGTTGAATTCTTTCCTTGATTTTGTCGGCCGCCACCACAATTGCCACGGACGTTGTGCCTTGGCCTTCTTCCAAGGCGGTTAGAATCCACTAGAGCGTTCGTGCTTTCAACCCTTGCGCTTGTCGAGCTGTGTCTTTTGCCTTTGAAGATGCATGGACCATCAGATTTTGCATTGGGTATGCAGCCCGCGTTTGAGAAACGACGGCGCCCCCAGGACCGCCGTGATGCCAGCCGCTACCTTGATCGGGACGCAGTGTCAGGACGATCCCTGCCGCTATGGATGCACGAGAGGCCAACGCAATGCTAAGATCACGGCGCGAGTCCGTGTACTTTTGGCATGGAGGGGCAGCAAACGGAATCGCTAAGAGGTGTCCTTTGATGTGGCGTGAATGTACGAGGAACTCGACGAGATGCCGACGTCGAGCGTCGTCCATGGCAGCAAACAACAGCAGCAGCAGCAGCAGCGACCTTTGCTCTCTAACACGGACACTCCATGGACGAAGGCAGTGCCAAGGCAATATACAACGGTGGGTTGGGCACATGGCATACCTTGACTCGACTTCAAATCGAACAAAGGTCCACCTAGAAAACTGCAGCGGCGCGGGACGGGCGTTGGGAGGTTTCCATCACTCGGGAAGAGTTTCGATGGTAGCACCAGTTCACGCCCCTCCCCCACGACACGACAAGGCAACACGCGTGTGGGATAGCAAAGCATTGTTACACAATTAGGGCGCGCGACGGCCGCCAACTCGGGAGTGACGTCGACATGCTTTGGTTGATATGACCATCGCATCACACGCCTGACACGTTTAATGTGGATTTTGCCAACGGACTGTCGTTGTCGTCTTCCGAGACGCTGCGTATTCGCCGCTTCATGGCGGTGGTGGGAAGGGGGGGCGGGAGGTCGACGAGGTGGTGGGCGCTGTCCCCTTGTACGGTGGACACCTCCGGCAGGATCCCCGGAGAAGACGTGCCGTCGGAAGACACGTCCTCTCGACACAAATTCGGTGGCAGACCGTGATCGCGCATGCGGGGAGTCTTCCCGAGCTTGGGCAGGTTTTGCCAAGTCGACTCGTCGACGTTGCGCACGAGTTCAAATTTGTCGACTTGTTTAAACTTGAACACGACGACTGCCGAGAGGTAGATGAAGATGATGTTAATCCACACGAGCAGCGCACTCCCCACGGCGATTTCAAAGAACACATTCTTCTTTGTCACTTCGTAGTCGGTCAGGAAGAGCGGGCCGATGATGGCGTATGACAAGCTAATCCCGCAGTTGACCGTTGGTGGAAGCAGCGCCGCCGCAATTGCCGTCCCCACCACCGACGAAATGTTGGCATTCGACTCGGCGAGCGCGACCCCGGCCCCAGACAACGCGGCGACGATCGCTCCGAAGATGAGCGACACAGCCTGGCCACGGGAACGCATCTCGGCCGTCGGCCACTTCAAGTCGTCCGCGTACGGCGCCAACACGATGCCGAGGAGCATGCCCAGTAGCAGCGTGATCACCTACAACATGGGAAAGTGATGTAGGAATGACGGACACGTTCGTCGGTAATGGATGCATACCAGAGCAGTGAGCTCGTTGGAGAGACCGTTTAGAAACATATTGCGGTCACGGATAGCATATCCAAAGGAGCAGCCGAGGATAGGGCCCTAAAGTACGCCAGTGTGCTGCCATGGGACGGTCATCTGCTGTCGGGTACCATGAGGGGGGATAGCAGCATCGACGCCACGACGCAGGTCTACTCAACGAGAGTTCAGGCGCCATGGTACTAAATGGTGTGGTTAGCACTCACGGGAGAGTCTCCTGCGAGTCCAATGCCAGCAATCGACCTGGACGAGGTGAGCAACGATCGTGGAGCGTTCATGGCATGCTACGTACGATGAGATGAAGAGCATCCCGATCGAGTCGCGGGAAAGTGTCGTGCTCGCTTCGATATGTGCATAGATCTCTGCGACTGGGATAGCAGTACCGACATCGCTGGACTTTTGTAGAATGCCACGCCGAGGCCTGGACGACGACCCGTTCTTCGTCTTCTTGGCTTTCGAGATGGTCGTGCCCGGAGTAAGGGACATGACATCGCAGAATCCAAACTTGACGCCCACCCCGAGCTTCTGAAGCACTGTCAACACGCCTTGCATCTCTTCGTCTTCAACGCGGAAGGACACAATCGACGATGTCCGAGCCTCGATGCTTGTGACGTTTTCCAAGTTCAGGTCGTCTTGCAGCACTGTCACGACCTATGCATGTACATCTTTTGACCCACGCTTGGCGATTGCGTTCGAAGCTGCTTGCCTTGCGATGCTGGTCGTTCGGAATGGTCACCTGGAACAGCTTCATCCGGGTCGGGGG